CGAGTAGTTTAAGGTGATAAGCTTGAAACTTATTTAGTTTAATAGCATCTTCCACACCCGGTCCCGCATCGCCACCACTATAATCTGATTCTTTGTATGCCATCTCATCGTTCCTAACGCCCTTGTATCTAGATTCGCCGGTTTGGGGATGCTCCTTGTAGATATAATCACCACGGCGAGCCCGAACATATCAACGGACCTCCAGGACAGTGTTTCTATCGATAGCGGCAGGCATACGCTCCCAGTCATATTGCTCGGACTCCGACTCGTGTCCCAAGAATAGTAGCCTGGCGTCATCAAATTGGCTCTCGTACGGGTTGGCTCTGGCTACTGTGGCATCACGTCTCCGACACTGTTACAGTCTACGGGGGGAACTTGGGACATAAAGGGCACAGGTATGACAATATGATAATGTGAAGTATTTGAAGTGCAAAAAATAAGTTAAATTGCTATGATTTCACCACTTGCACCCTCTCTGAACCTCTCCGAGCTCTCTCAGCCATCTCCTATACTCAATAAAATAGCTCCCTTCATGCACTAGCAATATGAATGCACCAGCTCTGAATGCACCGGCTCTCTGAATACACCGGCTCTCAGCAGCACAGCAGCACAGCAGCACTGATAGAAGAGGAAGAGAAAGAGAAGTGGGAAGAAGCAGAATCTTATTCTCAGGGGGCTGTGGAGCTGCTTTAGCCTAATAAGAAAGCGCTCGAGTGCTCGGGTTTCAGGAAATGAAAGTATCCACAGCTCTACCCGCCCCCTACTCTGCCCACGGGCGTTCTTAATTAGGCTTAAGTAGCTCCACTTTCTATTCCCTTTAATTGAAAACTTTTGCGCTGTCAAAATCCTCTTCCTTTAATATTAGTTTTGCTGTGCTGCTGAGAGCCGGTGCATTCAGAGAGCTGGTGCAGTCAGAGAGCTGGTGCATTCATATTGCTAGTGCATGAAGGGAGCTATTTTATTGAGTATAGGAGATGGCTGAGAGAGCTCGGAGAGGTTCAGAGAGGGTGCAAGTGGTGAAATCATAGCAATTTAACTTATTTTTTGCACTTCAAATACTTCACATTATCATATTATCATACCTGTGCCCTTTATGTCCTAAGTTCCCCCCGTATACAGTCTCATTATGGAGCTGCCCCGGGAGCTGTTCAAGGTCTTCCAACGTTGTTCTCTTCACATGTTTCCGTTGGCGGCAGATCAGGAGTTCCCTGCACTCTCTAGTGGGTTTCGGGACTAGTGTTTCTTCTTCCTCGTTTACAACGTACGGTGGACGGTATTTCGTCGCCTCGTGAACGTTGTTTTGAACGTTGTTTTGTCCAATCTTCTCCTGACCGTTTTTGCATGACTCGTCCCACGAGTCTGTTGCTTGAAAATCTGATGGTAGAAACGGTCCAGGATCGTTTTGGAGGATTGGATGCGAATACGCATCTTTCTCGATATCTTCTCCTTGCTAGAGCACTTTTACGACTTGCTTAGGTCGTAACGGGCTTATGAGTTTTCCGATTTTTATTGGTGGAGTAGCTATTAGTGTCCGTGTAGTTCTCATCGGAACTACTAGAGCTGTCCGGTCGCGCGCTCTCCTTGCGCTTCATTCTGGGAATCTTAATCGGGATCTTGCCACCTGGCTGACGTCCTAGGGGCTTGGGGTGGAGGATGAGTTTGTGCTTCTCTGACGGGATGAAAATCGGTCTTTGTAACGTGACAATGTTCTCGCCAACGCCGCGATCACCGATTTCAATCTTACTCTCGCGGATGTTGAACTTCGCATCAACGTCGTGCAGCCATGGTAGTCCCAAGAGCAGGCTCAAGTCGCCTTTGCCTCCAACATCGGGTCGGATGAATACGTAAATCTTTTTCCAGATGCTATTAACGCCTATATTGAAGGTGGTATAGGAATTTAGCGAGGACGAGTTGCCATCGGCGGTGTTCATCGTGAGGCCGCTTCATTTCTTTTGCGATAGGTCAATTGCTGGGAAGCCCATAGCCTTTCGTAGCGGGTTGGTGATTAGGTTGATATCGGAACCTTGGTCCGTGGCCGACATGCCTAGTGGTATGGCGACTTTTGTATCCTTGCCCTAGTAGCGTACCTTGAACGTGACCGGGACTTTGAATGCTTTGTCGTCCGGATGGATAGATAGCACGATGGGGGTGCCTACGGTGAGGATCGGCACTTCCTTTTCAACGGAGTCTACCTTGGCAAGTCTCACATCTACCGTAGAGCTACTAGATTTTTGGGTTTGGCTTTGCGTAGCCTCGGCAGGAGGTGAGGTCTTCTCAGCTTTCTCGGAGCTCTTTGTCTTCGCAACCTTGACCGGCATCCCTAGCTCCCTCAACGCGGTACGGGCGTCGGGTGAAATCTGCATGAGATCCAGGAGGTTCATCTCGCAAGTCAAGCGCTTGGCCAGTTCCTTGTAGTCCCTTGGGCCCAGGCCTTCTTTGCCTGCAATTTGACGGAGCCGTCGGACTGCCTTTCCAACACCCTCCTTCTTTGGTGCCTTCTTCGAGCTAGAGGCGGCACGAGTCTCCATCTCTCCCACCTCTGAATCACCCTTGTTCGTACGCTTACACTTTTTGGCCTGTGCTATGAATGTGTCTATGACGGTGCCGTGTGCACCTACGCAGTAGCCAGATGAGCCCAACTCAATGTTGTTTGCTACGGCGGAACTTCCTGAGCTCGGAGTAGGAGCGCCAGAATTGTCACTCGAGAACAAGTCATTGTAGGAGATTGTGGGCATGTTGTCCGGGGTGGCGTTGCCGCTCCTTATGCAGTGCTTGGCGCCTGAGGTCATCGTTGTGTAGCCCCTTCACGAATGCGTTCGTAATTGTGTTTAGCATTGTAATTTAGTGAGTACTGGAGCGACGCCTAGGGAGCAGTTCTTGAAGTGAGTACTGGAGTCTGAGGTAAGTATGAGTGGATCAGGGAGCAAAGTTTGAGGTGAGAGCAGAGTTTGAAGTGAGAGCAGAGTCTGAGGTGAAGAGCAGACTTTGAGGTGAGAGCAGAGTTTAATTAGCATGCCCTGACTCGTGATTAACGCCCTGTTCGAGCCCATACCTCTAGTTTCTTGGCCATCATCCTTCTACCAAGCATCACAATTCTGGTTTTGCATCAAATACTTCACGAGTGCCAATCCACACTTTGATACTCTCAGGATGTCTTTCGTATCCCTTGACCTCGATCAACTCATCCAGTTTAAATCCCAAATGGGAAAAGAATGGGACGCCCATTGTCGCTGCAGCGACCCCAGCTGCTACTTGATCGATGTCAGCTACCTCTAAAGCCCACTTGGCCAGCTTGGACGCGTGTCCACGGCTCCAGTAAGCAGGATGGGTTACTTGAGTTGATATTTCGAGCTTTGAATGGAGGAGGCTGGTGAAAGTCAGAATGCTTATATGCAGACGTGGCTCATGGACCTTTTGACGTACCGTGCTTCAGGCTCCGCAGTGTATTGATCAAAGAGCTTATCGGCTCGAGGATCTCGATCACGGTTCAGGTTCTCGGGATCAGGTTGGAGGGGAGGAGGGCTGGGTCCTTGAGCGAAGTCAGTCAACGTTCAACTCTCTGTAGGTACTGTACCTGGGACGCAACTCACCTTCTGGTTGGAATTGACCAATTCTCGATGAATCAGGTGGCAATCGGACGCTACAGACCGCCACGATAGCCTTCTCCGACTCGTTGTTCCAGGGCGGGTAGATAGACTGCAACGCCGCATAGACTTTGTCGACTTCAGACTCGTGGCCAAGCGGCACCCTTCAAATGCTGGAATGCGAGGCGACATGGATTGATTGGTGTGAACAGCACTTGGGCATCTAGCATGACTACTGTACGTCTTGTGCGGTCTTATACTAAGATGGGTACAGAGGGCAGAGGCTCACGCGCACCATGGATGGACCGGCACGGTGCATGTGGAGCACTAGTGCTTACATAAGGGAAGCCGCTAGGGAGCGTCTATGTAGCGTAGCCCGACCGTAGAATGCATCCTCTCCCACCAATTCCGTGACCCTATTTTGTGGTGACCCACGCAAGGGGTATCGAAAATAACCTTGCGAAAACCTCTTGATACCCTCCCCATCTCGTTCCCGGGCTCTACACTTTAATAAATATATTTTTATAAATATCGAGTATAATAAAGTGTTCTAATGTTTTTACAGTGTTTCTAAGCATTAATTAACGATATCACTCATTAACTAGAACTACTCGTTATTTAGCGTACCAAGTCGTTTTATAACGAGCTATCGCTCTCGTAGGGAATTGACATTTCAAATGCTGTTGCTAAGGAACAGGGAAGAGTCTTGAAAAGTGAACTGAAGGAAATTGCGTTACATACGGAGACATTTGGTTGGTAAAGTTGGGTGCCAGATAGAGTAATCTAGCTAGCAATAGCTTCAGGTATCCAAGAATCAAATCGATTTCGAGGTTCAAGCTTAATTCAACGAGTACATCTGTCCACTGTGGAATATTGCAGATTCCCACAAACGTCATGCCCTTAACCCAATTTCTTCCCAACAGCAACAATCATAAGCCCCTTCAGCTTCCTCGGCAACTCAGGATACTTTTCCTCAATCAACCTCAAGACCTCTTCCACATACGCATCCAACTCTGCCTCCGTATAATCGGCAACGAAGAACATCGCCCCGGGATTCTTACCTCGGATGAACATATCAACAAGTGGCTTCGGATCCGAGACATCCATAAACGACTCAATTAGCTCAACACACTCGGCACTAAATCCGACTGTTTCGAACTCGGCTCGGATACCTTCAACGGTGCCGTAGCCTTTGGGGAATTGGTAGACTGGAGCTGTTTCGCCACGGATCTTCTTGGCGGCTTGGGCCATCTACGGAGGGATTAGTACATGCTTTTAGTAGACTCTCAAGAGCTGGAAGAATGCAATAGAAATCAAACAGATCAAAGTCTGTTTCGAAGAAGAATGAGCACAGAGAATACGTTCTTACCATTTCCATCCACTCCGCCCCAGCGCCGAGCGTCATCCCAATGATCCCTCCAGGCTGGAGAACTCGATGCGCAGCCTCGAGAGCCTGTCGGCCATTCGACACTAGATTGTACACCATGGTGCCGGTAATGTGGCTGATAAACGCATCCTCAATTCCATCTAGGACTTGGGCATCAAGAACCTTGGCCTCTACTCTGCTCCAGATTGGGTTGCTGTCCTGCTCTTCTTTCTGGCGTTTCTGGACTTGTTCGATCATTCCAGCGCTGAAATCTGATGCGATCCTGTGTATGTGTTAGTGTTTGTTCTTTCTTCACTAGAATATTGGAAGGTCAATTATCAACTGAGAGTAGTGATCACGATAATTCGTATCAACTTGGAAAATAAAATGAACCTTCCAACTCGAAAGACACAATGAACTATGAATAATCTTTCCAACTCCCCAGAAATAAGAACCAGAGAGGGAAGACCAGAGAAACATATTTCTTACAAACGCGCACCAGAAGAGAATTGAGAACCATAACTTTCAATAAGCTTCCCAATAGTGACCCCCGGCCCAGTCCCAACATCAAGGATCGCTCTAGCAGCAGAAAAAGGATACGCCGTATTCATCTGCGAGAACAACATCTCAGTAGATGCATTGCTGTGTTGACCACCTTTGGCATAAGTGCCCGCGTTCGCACTCCATTGATCTTTGTCTTGCACTACGGTCTGCATTCTGGGGGATGTAAGATGTGTAAAGCTTCTTATTGATATGGTTGTAGAGAAGATGGCTGTGGAGGTGAAGGAGAGATATATAGTGGTGAGGCGTAGCTATGTCTCGCGGTGTCGGAAACTTTTCGGACACATTGATACGCTGAGTGCTGATACTCAAACGACGTTGCCAGGGTGGATTCTGCTCGAAGTCTCTCATGAAAGTTGTTTGGGCGTTGCGGCTCCTTGTTTTTCGCTGAAATGTGGCCGACGTGGACGTTCTAAGGGAAACTTTCGTCAAGAGGTACGACTGTCTCGAGCCGGAATTTGAACGCGAGACGCAGCATCTAGGGAAGATCCCAGTGGAGTAAAAGCTCATTATTGCTCCTTTTTCTTATTGTCATACTGGACTCTTCTATCATGTCAAATCCTTCGATGAATTCTACTGGCGTTCGTGTCCAGAAGCGAATCATGTTGGAAAGCGTCGTCGTTTGCTCTGCAATTTTGGATAGAGCATTTCAGCCACATATCTTGCTATACGAGAGCATGGGTGTGGTGGCTGGACAAAAGTGGCTTCAACCTTTTCGGCCTCAATTGAGGACTACCTCACAAGGTATGCAGGGAAACTGAAAGAACCTGTTTAAGATCGCTTCGACTGTTGCCGCAGCAAGGGCTCAGAGGGTTGAAGCCAGAGAGTATTTTCATTGCCATAAGTCCACAATGTACGTACTACAGACATCGTTTAACCAAAAGACTCATCAAGAAGTCTTCCAATGCCACGTTTGCACCTTTTATTCGCCTCGACGACAGCCCATCTTACATCATCGATCATACTCGCCGGACCACAGACAATGATCAAAGTGTCCGCGCCATTACCGTAGCTTCCAGGCTCATAGCATCCAGCTTCACGCCATACTAATTCTTCCATGTCCCATCGCTTCCCAATACGCACTTGAATATCGAGACTCGTCGATTCTCTCTGCAAATATTCTGGACCACAAGTCAACAACAACCCTTTAGATCTTGCACCGAGATACAATCTCGTGCTCCCTGTCGAAGCATTTGCTCGGGCACGCAGTACAGGGAGAATGGGGGCGATGCCAACGCCGCCGGCAATGCAGACTAGATGTGGCGCTGTGGCAGGTAGGCTAGCGAGGGACAGTTGTGAGGAATAGGGGCCTTCGACGGGGACTAGAACTTTGAGAGAATCGGTAAATAAAAGAGCTGTGGTGCCTTTTTCGCGGCGGATAAGAAAGGAGAGGCTTGAAACCATCTTGCTGCGTTTGGTATCAAGCAACCCTTCTTCCTCGTCCTCTTGAGTGGAAGGGTCGACCATGAACGTCGCAGAATTCGGAGTAATTGGCGTCATAGATATTGGTAGCTGCTCTGAACTTGATATCGATTTTTGCTGTCTATGAGATTTGTATCCAGAAAAAAACTTGTTGAGCCCTGTCTCCAGACTTTACGGGGGGAACTTGGGACATAAAAGTCGCACGCATGATGATATGATAATATGAAAAGCAAAAACATTGAATTATCACAAAATTAAGGCTGAAATCTCCCAAAATTCCCTTTTTTTTTTCAACTTCCTGACTGCATAGGCTGCCACCCCTTGATTCCAGCACCAGCTCACTGAATGCACCAGCTCATAGTAAAGCATAGCTACTGTACATGCGCAAAAAGTGATGCAAAAGGAAGAGGATCTTGTCAGAGGAGAAGTTTTCACTTAAGTGGAACAAGAAGTGGAGCTACCTAAGCTTCATTAGGAACGCTCGTGGGTAGAGTAGGGGGCGGGTAGAGCTGTGGATACCCTCATTTCCTGAAACCCAAGCACCGGAGCGTACCCTTATCGGGCTAGAGTAGCTCAGCCCCTGAGAATCATAAGGTTCTGCTTCTTCCCACTTCTCTTTCTCTTCCTCTTCTATCAATTCTGCTGTGCTGCTAAGAGCCGGTGCATTCAGAGAGTTGGTGCAGTCAGAGAGCTGAAAAAAAAACAGGAATTTGGGTGGTCTTAGCCATAATTTTCTGATAATTTAACGTGTTTTGCCTTTCACACTATCATATTATCATACATGCGACTTTTATGTCCCAAGTTCCCCCCGTAAGACTTAGAGTCGGACTCGGACTGAGAATCAGAGTCAAACTCGGAATCGGATCCAACAAGTCCAAGAAGAGGTTCGCCTTGTTTGATGGTATTCTCCAATGTCTTGCGTTGCGCTTCCACGACGGATGCCATGATAGAAAACGGGTGGTATTCCCACAATCTCCAGCCTAGAGTGGGAAAATAGAGATGGGCCTGCACCGACCTATTCACCAAATATTCTATTGGCTAAATTTCTTCGTTTTATGAATAGATTAGCTATTTGGCTAAATATTTATTGTTCAATATAATAGAAGTTTTAACAATTTTTTTAAATTTTTTTTATGTAGTCTTTTGGTCTCTGCCCTCCCCGCTATCTCTCTGGACGATAACGGCGGATGGGACTTCTCAACGAGTCCCGAGACAGGACAATTCAACATGTCTACCGATCGAAAATCTCCTTATTTTCCTTTGTGCGGTATTTGCGCGGAGTTTCATCTGGACTATTCAACAAGTCGAAGAGCTATTAACACAAAGAGCCCTTCAAAAGTCTCAATGTCAGTGGAGGAAATTTGGGGTTTGATTTGGTCTTTGTAGTTATTTCGTGCCTTGAGTTATTTTAGCACTTCAAGAAAATTCCCTTTCTCATCTCGGCCTCGCGAACTTCGAACATGACTTGAATGCCCACGAACAAGACTGATGATGCTGTGACCAAGAACGCGAGCCCTACCATTTGTTAGCACCATATTCCCACAAGGCTCCAGGAGGAATGACATACCCGAATAATCTCTGAAAATGCCATGAATGATGCTTTTCAATCCATCAACACCAACCGCAAACCCAACCAGATTAGCAATCATCATCATCATCAAGTTCCCCACAACCCCAATCCCACACAGCACTCTGTAAGCCGTGAGATGATTCTCCCACTTCTTCCTCGGGAACAACATCCCAGCCAGAACTTCCGGCATCATGAACAGCACAATCAGCCACCCCCATATAAGGAGATTGAGACTAATATCATGCCACAAAGCAACGAACGTGAACACCACCCCAAAGTTCAGGATAGTTCTAGCCTTGGAAATCCAGTCGTTTCCGTGGGAGCCTCCGAGGGGAACGTATAAGTAGCGGATTATCCAGCGGTTGAAGCTCTTGTGCCAGCTGCGCCAAAATCGGACTGTGGAGGGATTGTCTGAAAGGCAGCGGAGCATGTTCTCTGGGGGATCGATGCCGTCTATTAGGGACCAGAGACGGAAGAATCGCCAGGGCAGGAGGAGCTTCAGCCAGAGGACGTGCAGGTTGAAGTATGAGAGGAGTGAAAGTTGTGCGGGTGTGTAGTCCGACCAATTCGGGTCGCCTTTTGATATTGCTACGCAGTAATCAAAGTGTAACACCAGCTCCATTGCGAGGAGACAGAGGAGGAATCGAATTGCATATTTGATTGTTCGGGAATTCTCGATGCTCGCTGGTGGGTACTTGAGTTGGGAGATGTAGTCGTTGAAAGTTATGATCGGGCCCGTGAGGTAGAGAGGGGCGTAAATGGCATAGGCGATGTAGTTCCTAAAGCTGTAATCTTTTGCAGCGGCGGGTATTGAGACTCTGTCTCGTTCGGAGAGGTTTGCAGGGTCGAGTTGCTTCTTCTTGTGTGCATTAGTATTGATTTTGCGCGTACTCATCGTGACAACTGACCTCGATCGGACTCCCGCTTCTCATGTTGAGACTCCAGTAATAATCCATGTTGAAACTGATGAGCCTCAATACTGTGAGGTTGAATAAAACCTCCCATCTGGACATTATGCCGCCGTAGCTATCAAGCCATGCTCCCCAAGTATGCCACATAGATCCCACAGAGCCAGCCTCGAGCGGAGAGAAGTACTCTACCATCTTAGCAAACTTATATCCTCCAGCAAGCTCATTTGCAAAAAGAATCGAGATGTTGAAAATCCAAGTCGCCCAAGGAACCCAAGCTCTTGGCAGACGTGTGGCCACACAGTAATTACCATATAGAATGATGATCACTTTGACGGCAGAAAATCCATGTAGGGTAGTTAAGAATATCATAGCAAAGCCAAAATCGAAGGATGCCCTCAACTCAAGCCTTGCTTCCGCATCTGCTGCAGAAACATATGTAGTGCCGCCATTCTGCCTGGGAGAGCCGTTTCGAGTCGGTTGGGCCCGCAGAGAATTGTATATCTTTCGGAGGATGGGGTGGAAGGTGAGGAGTATGGCGAGATAGGGGATATTGCCTCGAAAATCGTGGTACTGATGATCAGACACATCCTGCCAACATTCAGTATTCGCAGAGCTTGGGGAGGATTGAGCCAACTCCACATACGATTTTGCGACCTGGTACCCAGCCAGGAGATAATAGGTGTTCGTATTTGTGGTAGTTTGGGTCAGACGCTGTAATCGTCAATAATAATTCTGGGAGGCAAAAGCTTGAATTGATACTGACGTCTAGATACATCGTACGCTACCCAGAACATGTACGGTACAGTGATTATAAAAACAACATAATAGAAGTAAAATTCGGGCGTCTTCCATTTCGAAGGTTGGGCAATTGGCCTGCCACTGTAGTCTGTTTTGACTCCAGCCCCTGGCACTGAATCATCCCTCTTGGAATACGCATTGGGAAACTCGTTACGGGCGTCGATTGTGGCTCGATATGGGGTCGAAGAGGAGCTGGTAAATCGAGTATCGATCGTGTCTAGAGCGTAAATGCTCCTGACATAGGAGAAGATGCTCATTGCTGGAACATGAAGCCGGTGTTGACCTAAACAACACAAATGGAGAGCCTAGCTGCAGAAAGAATGTAAGAATGGAATTCGAGCAAGAAGGAACGTCGAAAAGAGTTGTGAAGTCTCCTTTTAAAGGCTCGTGATGTTGATTGCGTCGTACTTCACGGAGTCGGTATACCGGTCGCGTTCAGAATAAATTCCTTAGCGTGAACCCCTAAAAATAGCCTAGCGAGACGGCCGAGGCTCTTCTGACTTCACTCTGCCAGCAAGAAAGGGGTACAACCATTCAGTTTTAATTATTCAAACCTCAAGCTCATTAGATGTTGTTTTAGCATGGAAAAGGAATGATTGTTCTCGACAGAGCAATTTTCATTCGGTTTCAAGAGCAAAATTTTGAAATCATAAAGTCCTGATGATTTGCCAGACTTTTATGGGAGTCATGACGGCGCAGATGGTCTTCAGTTGGGACTCAAGGAGTTCTCGCTGAATCATTATATCTGCAAAGGCAAGTCAGAACTTTTCCAAGTAGTATTTTGTAAATATGATAAGCATCACGTGTAGCTGCATTAGCAAGGCACTCTATGATCTGCACTATAAGTATAGCTTCGAACCATTGATGTCATTTCAGTAACAACGCCTCCTCACATCATATCAAGATGTTCAAACTCATCAGCGCTACTCCTTCTCCATATGCAAGGAAAGTCCGCATTGTCCTTGCAGAGAAGGGCATTCCTTTTGAGCTGATCACCGAAGTCCCGTGGGACAATACAACCAAGACACCACAGCATAACCCACTCGAAAAGCTTCCTGTGCTCATCCTCGAGGATGGCTCTTCAGTGTATGAGTCCCACTATATCCTAGAGTACATCGAGGCCAAGTTTCTAGGAAAACATCCTATGCTTTCTGACGATATCGACGAGAGGCTATTCGCCAAGAAGGTCGAGGTTGTAGCTGATGGAGTGTGCGATGCTTTTGTTCTCTGCTTCTTCGAGAAACAACGTGCTCAGCAGAGCGAGGAATGGAAAGCTCGTCAAATGAGAAAAGTTGATGGCGGATTTAGAGCCTTGGCCGAGTGGGTGGGCGAGAGGGACTATATCGTTGGAGATAAATTCGGGCTGGCAGATGTCGCTACTGGAAGTGTCTGCGGGTATTTTGATGTCAGATGTCCTGAGTACCCATGGAGATCTTATTACCCGAATCTTGCGAAGTATATGGACAAGCTTAACAACAGAAAGTCATTCAAGGATACCGTTCCGGTTCCTCAGAAGATTTCGGACAAGATTGTATGAATCAATTGTCGATGATTATGCGTGTCCACTGGAACAATATAGTGGATTTCTTGATCATCTGCAAAGTCACCGCTCTTGTGCCACCCAGTCACATTGTCGATATGTACCCTTCAACGATATCTTATTGGTCCTCGAATCTTGAGAGATTTGTAGAGCTAATCGAGAGACAGGGGTGAATACAATTATGCTGTTAGGTGGTTTGAATTCAGGTACCTGCAGTTCCCGAATCCTACCAATCCACCAATCTCTTGATCACAAACTTTGTTTCAAGCTTGTCTCGAAACGAATGCGAATATGTGCGGTGTGGATTTGGCCTTTAATGCAGATGTTCTATGTCTTTTTAGGTCGAGTGATGGTGAGGGGTCTCAAGTGAGAACATAATCAATTCAAGTCTAAATTATGACACATATTACTGACTCACTTACCGTCAGCTTGAGCTCAACTGCACTTAGTCTGCCAAAACTTTAGTACTTGCGTTTCTGATTTTAACAGAACTGTATGAAAAGTCTTTCATGGGTCATCAATAGTCTCCTAGATGACATTGCCTAATACTTGTTTGCTAGTCTTTCAACTATTCTACGCAAATCTGAAGTAGATCACAGATACCCGTCAGCTGGTTCAGCAATCTGACAGGTCCTGTGGGCTTCTTTATATAAACTGGCACTTTTTCCCGTGTCGGCTCTTGATCTCAGGAGGGGACGAGGGCCAAGTTACAGTAGATATAATTTCACTTGATGGACCCACGCATTTGCCTTTACAATCAAAGCATATGTATAATGCTTTCCTCCTTCGTCAACACTAATATTGGACTGGCTGCGTGGTGAACGAGAATAACGTCTCCTGTATAATCATAAGCTAAACCCATTTGGCTAGCCTCATATACAAGTGGGCAATACTCCTAGAATTTGGGGTTTGGACACTTTGTACCGCGAACCAAAACAACATCATCTTCTCGACAAGACCCTTCCTAAACACATTTCAACAACAAACTCATCATGACCGCCTCTTACAAAGCACAAGTCTTGCCATCGGCAGAAGAACGCGACTGTCCTAATGAGACAGAGCGAATTACAGTTTGCGATACCACCTCTCCCGAAATCAATTCAACTTCGGCCCCTTCTTGGCCAGCTACTTTCCATGAGTTCCGCTTTGGACCTTTGTCGAAAGACCCCAAGTGGTCAAGGTTCAGCCCAGGTTAGTCTCTCTTGATTTGAAGAATTTCGTCACGTTTTCTGACTCTTAAAGAACACTGGGAGATTGTGCCAGACGACATGATGATGAATGGACAACTTGTCCGTGAAGGTCAGAATTGTAGCGATGCAGGAGGTATGGATTGGATGGTGAAAGCCAAAAAGCCTCCTACCTTCACATGCTTTGGACAGTTGCCAACGGAGTTAAGATTGCTTATATGTAAGTCTCGTGGTTCATCAAGAACATTTCGTATTTGTTACTGTCTCCAGATTCATGCTGCGTGGCTATTGAATCGAATCAACTCCTAGGCCATGAAGATCTGGTCCCGAAATATACGAAACTAGTACGCTAACTCCAATTCTTTGATCACAGGGAAATTTGCACTGCCGCAACCGCGTGTCGTCCAATTGGCAGAGGTGACCAGCTATTCCTCGGGGTTTTTACATCAAGGACATCATTTCGGAAGGGAGCATCTTTCAACATGCTGGGAAGCACGTCTTGTCTTCCTTGAGCACTACCATCACGTCTCACACCTTCAAAGATCGAGCTGGCAACCCATTGAAGGCATTTCTTGCAAAGAGGGACAGCACATCAACGACCTCAACACAAGAACCAGATACATTGATGCCATCAGAGACACACTAGTCATCAGTATCGATTTCGTTTTGGAGGATGATGACTCGGATTGGCGTTGGCAGTTGGATGTTTCTCGTATTCAGACTCTGGGCATCTTTGATGCGCACAAGCTCGATGACGTGGGATTGGGACATACTATATGGCCTCGCATGGAAGCAAGATGCCCAGCTTTGAAGAACTTCTCCCTAGTCCTTGGCTCGCCTCAAGACAGCGACTCGGACTGGAAGGACAGTTCGCATCTTCGATTGGTGGAAGTCGACGAAAATCTGAGATCTCTCCAGATATCGCCATACACCTTCAGTGAAGAGCACGAAGCTACTTGGGCATTCTCACACGAATCAGCAATCCAGCCATACCTTACCGGAGCAGCCCTCGTGCGAGAGCGATTCGAACACAATAAGGAAGAAAATGGGGCAGGTCGGGAGGGAATTAATCTTCAAGTTGCGTTCTTGTCCGTCGAAGGGTGGAACGATTGGTGGGATCACGAAGTCTGGACCGTTGCCCCAAAGCCTAGAGCACCGTACGAAATCTTCAAGTACGCATTCAAACCAATCTTGCCTTGACCATCGCCGAGATGGAGTTCAAGGCTGTTGGCCTAGAGGATATGATCGTACTTTGTGATGAAGATGGGGAAATTCACAGTCACTACGACGGGATCAAGGAGCTTCTTGACTCGGAAGACGATACATATCGTGAGGACAGGGGTTCGGGGAGAAAGATCATTCGCCAGGAGTGCCGTTTTGTGGAGGTGGACGATTGAGGCGAAGAGATGAGGAGGTCGAGTAGCATGAGAGAGGGATGTATCTGATCAGGACTGAGGACATTGAGACAGATGCAAAGAGACCATTGTGCACACCAAAGTTCCGCAACACTTGGAAGTCACAGTTTCGTTTCTCTCAGCAAGTAAATGAGAATTGCATTGACGAATTTACATGATTTCCTTTTGAGTGAGGATTACTTCCGCGACCTAGCAATATTTATTTATCTTTAATCAAGCCTTGAATTCTTCCCACCGAAGATGCTTTTGAAACAACGAAGTAATGGTGTGCCGAGTCTGTAAACTTCAAGTTTACCATAGTCCCTTCCCTCAACGTCACTGCATTCCGTACGGCGAAAGTATAGCTGCATCTAAGTCTCGAGTTAGCTCCCAATCGAATTATAAGCCATCCTTTCTCAACACATACAGATTGTCCAGAAGCTTCAGAATTTCCATCTCAACGGTCAGAACAACCCATGCACTGGTCGGGCGTTGGCAAGACGACGTCTCCTAGCACAAAAGTCAGTAACTGGGTGCTCGAAGTGTCTGAAAAATGTGGAATAAACCTTGTGGGACGATAGGTTCTGCGATTGCAAACGTTAGAAGGCAGACGGAAATTGACAACAGACGAGTAATCATGAAGAATTGCATTGTTGAGTTTTTGTGGTTGAGATCTTTGGGGCAGTGGTACAGGTGAAGCAAGTGGTCGACGGGTTGATTTTCTCTCAAACTGTTCCGTTGAAAATTGAGTTTATCTTCTTCTAACCGCATCGAGGTAGATGGTGATATTTATGGGGAGGATTCTGTGTGAGCATGGGGCATATCTAATTGATATCGTAGGAAGTTATTGTTAAACTCATGCATGCGTAAACCGGCGAATGATATTATCGTCCATAAGAACTTCTCGAATTCGAAGGTAAGTCTGCTATTGGTAAGTAGATACGGCGCATGTACAGGAATTTTGACAAGGTTGATTGACCAATGGAAAAATCACACCCATTCAGCTTTCATGTTGTGCAGCCAAGTATCCTTGTCAGCTCAAGAAGACGAAGTAGAGCAAGAATTCATCGACTGCACGAGCTCAAGATTAACGGAGACTCTGTAGGTGTTTCGCCTTGCCGAGTTTGTTTGTTGGTGGTGATACATTGCAGCTGAAGTTTGTAATCCCTGGTGTCCGTTGGATCTTGTGCAACCAAAAAAACCGATACCCAGCTCGCGATCAAAGAATATGCACTTGCAAGAAGCTACTGCTGTAGATTGGGACGAGCTGAAGTACTGTGGATATTGTATTTGACAAGAGATTCGGTGAATAGCAAACGGGTAGAGACGAGACAATTTGAGAACATCACTTCGAAGTTTGTCTATATCTAACAACAATACCCCCTCCATCTTGCTCACCTCAACTCCCATCGCCCTCAATGACATATCCCTCGCCAAGCCTAGCAGTGGCAGGTCCCTCCATCACTATTTTCTCAATCGTACAAGTGACTTCGTTTCCTGAGATTGTGGCTATGCCACCCGTGCTGGTGTATTTTGTTGCACTGTTGTAATTCTCCGGCGCTCTGTTTTGTGTGAGTGGAGCATTCAAGGGATCAGAGAATAGAGAGCTTACTTCGTGCACCAGGACGTTGATGTTGTGTTCATCACCATAACAACATTCTCCCAAACCAACTCTCCAAAATCCCACGTCACGCCCGTTAACTCAATAGCCAGGATCGCTTGATTGAAATTCTTATTCCCCAAAGGGAAAGTATTCGTCGCCGTATGAGTACCGTACTCCACTGTCGAAGTCCAATTGTTCGGTGCCGGAGTATGGGTCATTGTGATATTAACCACATCAGGTGCATCTACCTATGTTTCATTAGTCTTTAAAACACAGGATAGGGATGGGAAGAAAACATACATTAAATCCATCGCCCCACGGTAAATTCGGATTACTATATCAAAAACTTTTAGCTTCTGTGCAAACCATCGCAAAAGTAAGGCAAACTGACCTACAACACCATCCACTCCCAATCCACCAAGTCCCGGATCTCCCATCCAAGACCGACTGATAAACCCCCGTATTCGCCGTATCCTGGAGTCCCGGCCATAGATAATACGTCCCTTTCTTCTGCAGGTTCGGGACTGTCATTTGCATTGAGAACTCCACCCACAGTCAGGTCAAACACATTCACAGCAGAGAGAGGGAAGTAACTAACCCGTTGAAACTGCGACGCAGAATTCGGAGTATTCCACCGTAGAAAATACCACGTTGCAGCCGCAACATATTGAAGATGGAAGCCTGCTATCAGCAGTAAACTCAACAGCACCTTCATGGCGAAGAGAATGTACAGAGAAATCAAGGACGACAAAACGAAAAAGGCACGACTTATCTATCCATTGTATATTCTGAATGGGAGAGACCCCGCAACGGAACAATTCCCATCTGAACAGATCGGATATGATCAAAATTATATCGGCGGATGTTTGGATGATATTGTTTTTGGTTTGTGAGTGGGTGCTCAGAGTGGAAATGTGGGGAAGTCTTAAGGGGTGGGGATTTAGCCGAGGGCGTGAGGGAAGAAATGCCGGGCTGGGATGTGATGGGATGTGGCCATTCTGAATCGGGATCCCGTAGATTATTTTCGGGTTGGCAAGAGTTTCTAGAAATGGATAGGGAAAAGTGCAGAGGAAGTACGATAAGGAGGGTGATTATGACCAGAGCAGATGGCCTCCACTAGAATTTGAGCCGAGGAAGACTGGCTTCAGTACAGACATTGCATAAAACAGTTTCGGTGAGAACAGCTGTTGAACAAGCTGTCAAGTTAGCAAATGCAGATAAAAAGGATATGAGAGTGAAATGTGACAAGATACTAAAACTCCCAAGCCGTCGATGTTGACTGCACTTACAGCTTCCACAAGATATTGTGATGTTGAAATGGGTTTCCCTACTTAGGTAAGATGTCAGGAAGTTAAGATGTCAGGAAGTTAAGATGTCAGGAAGTTAAGATGTCAGGAAGT